TTCACACTGGCTGGACCCTTGGTGGCTGTCCTCCAGGCCTGCCTCTTCCAGGAAGCCTTCCAGGCCCATCTAGCTGAGAGCGCCTCCAGCCCTTGATGTTGATCTCCCTCATTTTGGCACCTAATCTTTTACAGCCATAGTATCCAACCATGTTAAAATCTCCTGAGGGCACTGAAAAAAAACCAGATGCCTAGGCCCTACCCCATCAATCAAACTGAGGGGTGGAGCCTGGGCAGGGGTAGTTTTTAAAAGCTTGCAGGTATTTCTCAGGGGACACCAGGGCCAAGGACAGCGGTGATGGAGCGCTCCTGCTAGCTCCCTCTCTACGTGTGTGTGTATATTGTTTCTTGAGTGTCTCTTCACAGAGCCCAGACCAGTGCCTGGCACTTAGTAGGTGTTTAATACATTTTTGCAGACTGACTGTGACCGTAAACTCCTAAACCACAGGGCTGTCCTAGTAATCATTAAGTGACTTTCCTTTTATTTGCCCAGCTCTAAACCCAGTGTTTAGTTACTACTAGTAAATTGAACTAAATTAACTAGGGCAGTAAGTGGTTATTCTAAACAAGCCTTTTGTGACTTTTAAAGAGAGGTTTTTCCGTGGCCTCACTCGTGCCCGTGTTGTTTATTTACTTCGTTCAGTCCACATTTCTCTGAGCTCCCAAAATGTGCCAGCCTCCAAACTGAGCTGCTGAGGAAATGCACGAAAGCGACCGCTCCAGCTTCATGGAGGAGACAGATGTGGCCCAAAGAAGTGGAGCGTGTGCCATAGCTGCCACCCGTCATTACTCTCTAATGAAAATCACAAGCCTGGTGCCGATTCTTTTTTGGCATGAGTATCGCCTCTGCGAACCCCTGTGGAGTAAGAGCAGTGATTCTCAAAGCTGTGGCCCCCATACCAGCAGCACTGGCCTCCCCTGGGGACTGGTCAAACATGTGCGTTCTCAGGCCCCATCCAGACCCACTGAATCAGAAACTGGGGATGGGACCAGCAGTCTGTGTTTTCACAGCCCTCCTGGTCATTTTGCTACCCCTGCCTTAAAGCCGTGCTTCTCAGCCTTGGCCTCATATTCAAATCACCTGGGGAGCTTTTAAAAAAAAATAAGACTGCTCAGACGCCACCCCACATCTATTAAGTCAGGATCTCTGGGAATGGGGCCTGGGCGTCAAAATATTTAAAGCTCCCTGGGTGAAGGGAAGAAAGCACTGCCTTGCCATTGGACGGACCAGGGTGAGAATGCCAACAAACGCCAGCCCTAGCATTCTGGGCAGGACAGCAGCGTCACACCGGGGCACTGGGAAGGATCTTGGCGTTCCAGTTCCATCTCCGAGGTTCCTCTTCAAGCGTGACCCTTGTTTAGACATGTAGCACAACCTGCCTCTTCAACTAACTCTTTCAGAGTAGGCTTGGGAAAGACATGTCAGTGATGCCGGAACTGCCAGCTCTGCTTGTTGAACGGTGACTCTTGATCAGTCATACAGGAAAGGAGCGTGAGGTGATTCACCTTAAGAGAGGATGTGTTCAGAGCCTTCGCTGAGTAACTCCAGGCACTTTGGGATTCCTTTTTGTCACCTTTGGGTTAGTCTCCTGTTTTTCAATTGAGTTAAGTCATGTATTACATTTATAGTTTACATATATCATTTAGATGATAATTTATGCAATGATAATATATATTATAATTACATGCAATTAGCAAGGGCATACAAAGCATAATAATCACGAGAATAGTTACTGCCTGTGGAGTGCTTGCTATGTTAGGCATTATATTTAGCACTTTACATACATTGTTGCAGTGAGCTTTAAAACAGTCCAATGCATATGTTTGACCACATTACGCCCTTTTTCACGATGAGGAAACCGAGGACGAGGAATGTTAAGTTATTCACTCAAAGTCACATAGAAAACGGCGGACCCAGGGTTTAAACCTAGGTCTGTCATCAAAGATCATGCTTTCAGTAATTGAAAAAAAAATTTTTTTAATTTTATTTTAAATCACACTTTTACCCCAGCCTCCACTGGCTCATAGTAAGCAGTAGCACATGTATATAATACTATTAAAATTACATAGTACAATATGTAAAGAACATGCTACTGGATAGTGTTATAGATATGCATAAAATCATACATCATTTCACATGCAGTTGTACATAATATAAACTCAACAAATGCCATTTATGAAACAGTGTTACCATTTAAAGCTACTTATATAGTATCAATTATAGTTCATTTGTATCCTGAGGACATTATTTCAAAAGACCATTCTCAGAATGTTGCATTGAGAATATGTGGCTTCTTTGAAAATACTAAGACACAGTGTTAAAGGAAAAAAACAGGATCTATATTAGACATATATAGTTTATATGCATGGAAAAAATGGAAAGAAAGTACCCCAGATCTTTCACAGAAATTATGGTTGGATGGTTGGACTGTAAGAGGTTTTATTTTCTTCTTGATGTTTTGGGCTTGATGTGCCCCAGACAGGCTGATATTTGGTGTCACTTCAACCTGGTGCTCTTTCAGCTTTTGTTCTACATTTATTTAGTGGACAGGGAGAAACTGGTAATAAATAATTGATATATAGTGTGTGCAAATATAGATTCACTTCCTGATTCATTCCTACAGACCAAAGTAGAGTTGATGTTCTGAGGGTGGGGAATATTTCCCACTTCTCTGTGGCTTTTATTCTCTCTCTTTGTAAATTTCCAACCCCCACAATTTATTGGCAGACATATTAGTTTAAAATGTAGACACTAAACTAAATTACTCATTCCTAGCCCTTTGCCAGGCGTAATTCCAGTTTCCGAATTTCAGCCAACTGCAACATGCATGGTACAAAAATACAGCACAGGCACGGGCTGACGGCAGCAAGGAGTGGTGGTGTGTGTTTGTTTTTATATTATATTTCTCTCTTTCTTGTATTTTGCCAGTTACATAAGGAATCTCGTCTGGAGACTTGCATTAACCAGCACCACATTTCCAGCTGAAGGCTCAGACATGTCATCACCCTTTGCTCAATTCTAGAGAATTTGGAAAATTCACAAAGAATGACTCTCCAAAGCAGGACTCACAGAATGAATTGTGAAGTGTTCTGTTTTCTTCTGTTTTGGGGAGAGTTTGTGTAGAATTGGTATTTTTCTTTACATATTTGGTAGAATTCGCCAGTGAAGCCATGCTGTCCTGGGCTTTTCTTCGTGGACGTTTTAAATCACTAATTCAATCTCTTTATTTGTGATGGGTCTATTCAGATTTTCTATTTCTTCTTGTGTCAGTTTTGGTCATTTGTTTCTTTCTGGACATTTCATCTAAGTTATTTGATTTGTTGGCATATAGTTGTTCATACTCGTTTTTATTTTTGTGAGGTTGGTACTAGTGTCCCCTTCTCCATTTCTGATTTTAGTAATTTGAGTTTTTTCTCTTTTTTCTTGGTTAGCCTGGCTAAAGATTTGTCAATTTTGTTGATCTTCTCAATGAATGATGGCTTTTTTAGGTGTTCATTTAAAAAAATTATACCACATAAAGTACATAGTTGTCACATATAATCTTTTGTGTGTATAAAATATTGCAGAATAAAAATGGAACAGAAAGAAAGGAAAAAGGAATCATGGTGCAGTCAATTGTCTTAGAAAACTTACAAGGGTCACAGGTCCCATATTTGAGTTGCACACTAAATTATTTGCTTATTTATATAAGCTAATATCTGAATTCTATCTTTTAGATGAAACTGATATCTGCTTCACAAAGAGATAGTTGATACAATGTGAGACACTTAGGTGAAAAGTGATAAGATGAAACAGTGTTTATGCCAATGCTAAAAGCATTGACAAATTGGACACTCTTTTAGGGATGCGGTAAAAAGCACCACAGACTGGGTGACTTAAGACAACAGAAATGTATTTTCTCATGAAATCAAGGTATCAGTAGGACTATATTCTCTGAAACCTATAAGGGAGAATCCTTCCTTTTCTAGCTTCTGGCGGTCGCCAGCACTCCTCGGCAGTTACATAAAGAACTGGCTTAAACTGTATCACTTTATTCTCTGCCTCCTTCATCACAGGACCATCTTTTCCCCATGTGTCTGTCTCTTCTTCTTAAAGGACAGCAGTTACATTGGATTAAAGGAGGCCCACCCTACTCCAGTGTGACCTCATCTTAACTAATTACATCTGCCATGACCCTATTTCTTTTTTTCTTTTCTTTTTTTAACTTTGTTGGGGAACAGTATGTTTTTCCCAGGACCCATCAGCTCCAAGTCAAGTTGTCCTTCAATCTTAGTTGTAGAGGATACAAGCTCAGCTTCAAGTCCAGTCGCCATTTTTAAAAAAGATTTTATTGGGGAATTGGGGGAAGGGAAGAGTGTTGAGGAATTGGGGAAGGGGAACAGACAAGTTGCTGTCCTTTTGTTCTTCAGTCTAGTTGTGGAGGACGGCGCTTCACTGGCCCATGTTGGTATTGTGATCATTGCGCTCTTCCTGGCTGACGCAGATCGGTCGCCAGCCATTGGACGGCCACTCATGGTGTCTCACAGCAGCCCAGCTCCAGGTCGAGCTGTTGCTCACCATCTTAGCTGTAGAGGGCGCAGCGTCACTGGCCCTCATGTGGGATCCGAACTGGGGCCCTGCTGCTTAGAGCTGGGGTCCCAAGCCAACTCCTAACCAAAGCGCCACTTGGCCGGCCCACCATTTTTTTCAGTATCTACTTGCGGGGGGTGCAGCCCACCGTCCCATGTGGGAGTGGAATCAGCAACCTTGTTGTTAAGAGCACGCGCTCTATCCACTGAGCCATCCAGCCGCCTAACCCTGTTTCTAAACAATATCATTCTAAGGTCCTCGGGGTTAGGAATTCAACGTATCTTTCTTGGGGGACACAGTCAACCCATTACAGATGTGTTCTAAGATAACAGTGAACATTTGTCTGTTACTCTCCAATTTTTAGAAGTATATCACAGTCTTTTCTGCTTACCATGGCCTTTTTTTTTTTTTTTTCCAAACCTCTTCCCTAGATTGAAGATATGTTCAACGAAATCAGATTTAGTGAGTACGTGGACACTGGAGAGATAATTGACAAAATCAACTTACCAGATTTCCTCAAAATTTACCTTAACCACCGGCCACCTTTTGGGAATACCATGCATAACATCCAGAAGAGCTTCGACATCCTTGGCTATACCAATTCAAAAGGGAAGAAAGCTATTCAAAGAGAAGATTTCCTGAAACTGCTTCTAACCAAAGGTAAATCCATAAATAGGGAAACCTTGTAACATCCTCTGGCCAATGGTGAGCGACACCCTGGCATCTTTATTTGGACAGGGTTTCAGCCTGGGGGGTGTCCTTGCTGACCCGCGTAGCTGGCATGGTGGGGTCACAGGAAGGACACTGACCAGGGGACCAGAAGAATGCTGGCTATGTTCCCACTTGCTGAAATTTCAGGGTTCAGTGTCCTCAGTTGTAAAATGGGAAAACAGTGCCAGCCCTCAATGTCACGGGGCTATTATGAGATTCGGCTGTTATGGGATGTGTTTGTAAACTAAACCACACCAAAGTCAAAATGTCCCCTTTTACCTACTCTTTTCCTCATTATTTTATGTGAGGAAGTCAAGCAGGCATTCTCCCTGGGTGATCATTTCATCTTAGCCACGCTGGCGGTTCTAATGTGGGGGGAACTTGAAAGCAAGCCAGTGCAGCCTTTATCAGAAAGCTGTCTGATGTCTCCATACAAGCCCCAACATAGTTCCCCTGTAGGAGCCCCATTTCTAACACCATACAAGGAAGCATATGCGACAGTAACATGGGACCCTACACTGTCTTTGTGTCTCAAGAAGGAAATAGCCGAATAATTCTCTTTCAGACCTCAGAACGATGGCACTACGCGCTGACATCATGTTCAGTCCCAAGAGCTGACCCGCCCCCCCCCCTTTTTTTTTAAACGATACCCAGGTGAGCACATGACTGAGGAGGAGATGTCTGACTGCTTTGCTTCGCTGCTGGGACTAAATCCCGAGGGCTGGAAATCCGAGCCTGCAGCCTCCTCTGTCAAAGGTACTGGGGCTGGCTCTGTCTGGGCACGCAGCCGAGCTCTCAGGTCTGCTGTACACTTAAGTGCATTTATGTCTCCTGACTGCGGCAAGCCACTCTCCTTAATACCCCCACACACAACAAAGCAAGTCTGTCGGGAACCCCACATGAATAAGTTATGAAAAGGCCAGTGAGCGGCAGTCACGTCTAAGAGAGGAAAGAAAGCTTTTTGTCCCCGTGCTTGTCTGTCCTTTGTGCCTTCTGGTCTTGCTTTTTCCCTTTAGTCCCCTGACCTGGTCTTCATCTTTCCGGCCTGGGCGGGTGACTATTGGCCGCTGGCAGAGCATTCAGTTTGGAAGCTGTTTCAGACGAAGGGGAATTGTCAAGAGGGACTTGATAAGGAGAGGGCGACGGCTTGGTAGGTGGCACAAGCCTGACTTTAAGCTGCCAGAATTTTTAAAGTTTTTAAAGATCAGGCTCTCTTTCCTGCCTGAGGATTTCCTATCTCCTTCTCCTAGTCCACTCCAGGGAGGTAAATGGCCCTGGACTGTGGGTTGTGCATTTAAGCTCAGCAGGAATCAATCCAGACCCCCACCTCCTGGGCCTGCCTGTGTGGGAATAACTCCAGGGATTAGCCCAGGATGCTAGCCTGATGACCCCGTGGTGGTCAGTGCCGCTACTGTTACTGCGACTGGAGTCAGGAGCTGAGATCCCCCCCAGGCCCTCTCCTCCCTCTTCTTGTATTGTCTGTCCCCAGTTTCAAATGAACAGAGTCCCTAAACTCAGACAGTTCTAGACTCCGGTATCTGACTCTATCCTTTTGTCCTTAGGGTCTCACGATGTACCTTTACCTATTGTTAGGTATTTATGTTGTGTTCCTAGGTGTCTCGAAACAGTAACATCAAGGATACAGGGTGGTTGAGGTTTTCCAGTGAAGTTTGCAGAGACCCAAGTAACAAGTGCTCCAAACCACAAAGGAAGGATTTTAACCGTTTTCCACCCAGGGTTTTTTTCCCAAGGAATCAAAGCCAAACCACAGCACAAAGCACCTCTCGCTTTTTAGTATCGTTTCCTTGTGTTTTTGGAAAATGCGTCTGCATTCGAAACCTGATTGTTATGAAGACACTGGTTTCCTTGTTTGCCCAGGCTCAGAAGTGTGCTATGAAGAAGAACTTCCAGACGAAATCACTGCAGAAATATTCGCGACGGAAATTCTTGGCTTAACCATCTCACCCCACGTCAGACAAGATCCTACGGTCAGTGAAGTTGTCAGGAATGTTTGAAGCACAAAGGACTTTGTGTGTGAGCGCTTTTGTTGTTTTTTTTCCCCCAAGAAGCACTAAGTTTCCTGCACTTCCCTACCCCCACTCTAAATCTTTAGAATCTTTAGACATTAAAAGCAAATTTCTGTTAAGCAATGGAATTCACAAAGTTGGGCATTCCACTGTTTCTGAAAGAGACAAGTGGGTGGAGGCAAGAAAAACACTGGCAGCTGGATATAAATGGTGGCTAGACACCCCGGCCTGTCTTTGTGCCTAATCTAAGGCAGTGCTGCCTGGTGGGGGGTTTGAAGGGACGTGGAGGTGATGTGGTCTTTGGGGACAGAGAGGGCCTTGGCTAGCAGCAGGCCTTCCTAGTGACACGTGTGACCTTATCCCCTTCCCCTCGAGTGCCACCTGGACCCTTGTCCTAATGTGACCTGATGTGGAGCACCCCTGCCTGCTGTTAGGCTGGGGTAGGGGTGCTGGGATCTCTGGTCTTCTGAGAGTCCCTTACTTATGGCTTCTTCTCAGCAAAACATTCCAGCAGCGTCATGTGGTCGTTATGAAGAGCATCACTGGCCATGCTTAACCCAGGTGGCAACTGTCAGAGAGAATGCAAAAAGCACCCAAGAACCTCATGTATGCTGCACCAGAGCCAAAAACCACACAGCCAACCTCTGGGCAGAATCACCTAGAGTCTGTGAGCCCCTCCCACCCACCAGAAACCAATGTGGCTGATTGACTGCCTCACACTCGCTAGGCTTCAAAACCCCGAATAGGCAAAAAACGGGCCAGTTCCCCTGCTCAGGGAGGTTTAGGGAACATGACTAGGTTTTCAGCGGTGTTTTGTCCTTGAAAATAGAATCCCGTCATCATGTAAACAGATGAAAGCTATGGTTTCCGTTGTGAGGTCTCCTTCAGGCAGATGTGCACCCTCAGTCCAACACAGCCTCCCCCCGCCAGACCAGGTCCTTCCCAGGGGAACTAGCATTTGAGGTAGCATTTCTGGTCCCCATCAAAGTACTTTGTGGTCAGGAGCTGAGGTGTGTGTGAGAGTAACAGTAGCAGCGGCCTCCTCTGTGCACAGAGCCTGCCCCACTGCATGGCGCCCACCTGGAAGATGGGCACGGGGAGTCACTGGAATACCCTGAAACACAGAATGGAACCATCTACCTGGAACCAGGCTGTGTCACTATGACCTTGGGACAGACGGCATGGGCCAAGGTTCCACAGGCACCTGCTGATCACGTTGTGTCACCAGGGCTTTGCAACCTAGTTTACAGTTTGTTCTTTTTAAAAACACACAAAAAGGAAAACAAGCTTTATGAATCAATTTTGCAGCTGCTAAGGGCTTCGGAGATAGATTACCAAGCCAGTTAAAAAGTTCCTGGGGACATTTTAGGGAACAGGAAATTCTCAAATGACTTGTTCTCTTCAAAAAATAACTCAGAATTGGATGCAGTCTGGACACCAACCAGAGGCTTCTTTCATTAAAGCTGGCACACTGATTTTGTTCTCAGTGACTACATAACATTGGAATAATTGTCATCAACAGGGCAGACCAATGACCGGTTGGACCCACTATGATGTTCCCCGTGTGCTGAGCCAGCTTCCGGCATCTCTTTAAGTCACCATGGGGTCCTGGCTAAGACATTCATCCAGGAAGGCCAAAATAGTGAGGGACAGCAGGGTCTGTGTCAGTGGCATTCACACCCCAGCCTGGCCTGTGGGGCCCCTTCTCAGCTTCAGAACCTCTCTCTGCAGGTGCTTTTGTTTTGATGTCTCTCAGTTAGTTTGACCAAGGCAGAGAGCAGCATGTTCACCTTTCAGCCCTAGGAGGGCCTCTCCACCTCCCATCCCTGCCGAGCAGGCCAGGCCTGCAGGCCACACAGGTCGTGAAGAGGAAGGACAGCCATCCAAGGCTGTCACGTAAGCAGAGAACTCGGGCTGTCCAGTAGTGTGGGTGGCAGAGCAGTGATGCCAGAAAGGGAAAACGGAGAGACTGAAGGAAGACAGGATTGTTGGGCTTGTACATGCAGCCTTAGGGACAAAATACCGAACCCCAAAAAGCACGCTGTGATGTTCCTTTGAAGAAGGAATGCCATTGCAGGTAGGGCCTTTGGCTGCTGACCTCCACATCCTGGTTTGTTGCTTGCAGAGTTCAGGAGTGTGTAGAATAGCAGTGGTCTTCCAGGAACCACCAAGAGCCTCCCCCCAAACCCCACTCTCTGCTCCAGACCCCCAGGCTCCTCTGGCCCATGCTTCAGTTTGGAAAGGTTGGGCTGAGTTCATTTTCTGCTTCTGCTATTTAATAGGTCCCTGGGTGCCCTTGGGTGTGGCTAATCTCTTAAACCTCAATTGCCTCCTGGAACACTTGGGGTGCTCATGAGGATTAAAAGAGATGGCACAAGTCGAATGTCATGGGCATAAGTTAGCACTCAAAATCGGACAGCAGCTGTTGTTATATTACTACAGGCAGAAACTGGGCCTGAGGCTCGGGAAGCCATTTGATGAGAATGAACCCTTTCCCAGTTTGAGTTTTAGCACCAGTTAACGCTTGTTAAAAGAGGGGTCTCTGCTGGTTTTGACAATGGGCCCTCGGTTAACATTTGTGGGATGATGGAATGAATGAACTTGAAGCTTCAGTGCCCTTTTAATAGCTGACTTAGCTTTCGAATACAAGGGCATGCCAGTCCTCACAGACCCTCTCCATCACAGTCTGCAGACTTCCCCTATAAAGGGCTAGAGTGTAAATATTGAGGCTCTGCAGGCCCAGCCCCTCTCCCTCACCCCCAACTGCATGGGTCAGGCATCAAAGAAAAGCAGCCACAGACAATACAGGAAAGAGTGACCGTGGCCGCATTTCCGAGCACGTACAGTGACAGACATGGAAATCTGGATTACGTGGCCATTTCCACACGTCATGAAAACATCGTCTTCTTTTGATTCTTTTCAACCATTAAAAAATGTGGAAACTGTTCTTCGCTCAGGGGCCACACAGGACTCGCCGCCCGGATTCATCCCACAGGCTGGAGTTTGCTCTCCCTCACAGGCCAGGATTACCCCCTCCCAACAGATTTTTACAAATGCAGGGAATCTGTACAACATGCCTGACTGGTACTTTTCAAAAACGTCAAGGTCATGGCCCACGAGAAAAGACTGAGGAGCTGTCACAGATCGGAGGAGACTAAAGGAGACAAAATGACGAAATGCAAAGTGGGATCCTGGCTTTCGGGAACAGAGAGCGGACATCAGAAGCTAGTGAGATTGCCGTGAAGTCCGAGGTGCTGGTTTCTCAGCTTCGCTTGCTGTCATGGTTAGATGTGCAAACTTGGGAAGCTAGATGACAGGTCTATGGGAACTCTCGGTTCTGCCTTTGCAACTCTCCTGTAAATCTCACATTAGTTCAAAATTTAAAAAGAAAAAGATAGAAAAGAAATCTGTGCCACCTTTCCGACTGAGTCACCCTGAATTTGTTTCCTCTGTGAGCATCTCGAGGCAATGCAGATGGGTCCTTCGGCCATGGCCTAGACACCTATGTTTGCAGCGTGAGCGTGCTCTTCTGGGGTTTGGCCAGCATTTCCCTACAGGCAGCTGCTTCAAAATGGATGGTAATAAATAGATACAGGGCACGGCGGATCTACAGCAAGTTGCCACCCTACTCAGATGTCTTATAAGAGCCCTCTGCTAGCTTAGTGTAAAGGGGAAAAAAACACACAAAAAACAGGCTGATGCAACATTCTTCAATGGCAGTGCAACACTGAGTGTAGGGACCAACCTGATGAGACAGTTACCAGCAGGGGCCCCATGCCCTTCGGCTTGTGTTTTCCTGAGCTGCTGAAAGACCTCTTGCCTTTCTAGGTAACTGTGGGTATTTACCCATGCCCAGGTGAGAGGCGTCAGGCCCAGGAAGGTTGCTGTCCACTGCTGGCCCCACCGCCCCTCTTGATAGTTTGAAGTCACTAGTGGTGCAATGGGGCAGTTCAACACCAAAGTTGCCCCACCGAAGTGGAATGAACCATGATGTTCTGCCCGTACCCCTCCTGTTCTCTTATTTTCTTGACTGGAAGTCACAAAGCCCAGCAATGTAAACATGGTCTTTATTTTTGTAGCTCGTGCTCTTTAAAGCAAGGGGGGATGTTTTCTTTTTCTTTTTTTTTTCTTTTTTATTTTCTTTTATTTTCTTATTGGGGAATTGAGGGAGGGGAACAGCACTGGGGAATCAGGGGAAGGGGAACAGACAGGTTGCTGTCCTTTTGTTCTTCAGTCTAGGTGTGGAGGACGTTGCTTCACTGGCCCATGTTAGTATTATCATTGCGCTCTTCCCGGGTGAGGCAGATCGGTCGCTGGCCTCTGGACGGCTGCTCACGGCGGCTCTTGGCAGCTCACACCGGCTGCCACCCGCTCACGCTGGCTGCCACACACAGTAGCTTATGGCAACCCACTGCAGCAGGGGCTGCAGCCTACACAGTCGCCGGCAACTCATGGCAGCCCAGCTCCAGGTTGAGCTGTTGTTCACCATCTTAGCTGTAGAGGACAGTGTCACTGGCCTTCATGTGGGATCCGAACCGGGGCCCTGCTGTTCAGAGCTGGCGTCCCAAGCCAGCTCTTAACCAACGCGCCACTCGGCCAGCCCCGGGGATGTTTTCTCTGGGAGGAGCACAAGTTTAGTATTGTGCTGTGACGAGGCCAGCTGGCCAGCACATCTGCTCTGGTGAGTGAGGGGAGCAGTGGGTGGGATTGTGAGCCACGGGTCTGAAGCACAGAGAAGTTGAAAGCCAGTCGTGGAAAGAGAGGGGGGATACCATTCCAGACAGAGGGGACAGTGTGCATCTAAGCCAGAGGCATTCAGTGAACCAAAGGTCTGTGCGGTCAGACCACAGAGAGGGATGTAGGCACAAGACGAGGTCTGTAGGGGTCTAGAAGGATCTCTGTTCCATTGCCACCATTGATGGTTCTTCTTCTCGGGTCTGACTAGGAATACTTTCGTGTGG